GGAGTCCTGATAGGGATGATTTGTTGATGTAGAAGGCTGTTGTGTAAATCGTGGTGCTATTTCATTCGGCAATTCAGGAAACGTTGCCAAACTTTGTAGTTCGGGTGCTTTTGCCTGGATAGGATTCTTCTGTTCTTGGGTTTTTAAAAATATGTTATAAGTCCTTTGCTTGTATAGCTTCTTGTAAACAATGCATCCGCGATAGCTTGCAGGGTGGTCCTCACCACAAAGGACACATTTTGCTGGTTCATTTAATGGTTTCTGACATGTGTCAGAGGCGTGAGAGCCGGCACATTTGACACACCGCGCCGAGTGATGGCAGTAAGCCTTTGTGTGCCCTAAGTTTTGACACTTGGTGCATTGCACGACTATTGGTTTCTGCCTCGGTTCTTCAAATTTTACTATTGAATAAAGTAGTCTTTTAACTTCGAAGATCTCAGAATTATTCCGGGCTGGTTCCAAATCGATAAAAAATAATGGAAGTGGATATTTATCGATTGGATGTAAAACAGAAGATATATGTCTTACATTGTGGCCTATATCTTCGAGTTCTTTTTTTATAGCGGTAGTGGGAGTGGTTGAGTGAAGACCTCTCAAAACGACCCTATATGTTTTTTCCTCTTTTAATTGGTAGCAGTGGAAGTCATAATTGTGTGATGTCAAGTGGTTTATAAGTTTTTTATAGTCATCTTTGGTGTTGGTATTGATTTTTATGTCGTTGATACGAGAAAAGCAACGGAAATTGGTCGGTCCGATTAGATTAGCTAATTCTTGACCGAACTGCATGAAGTTTTCAATTTTGCTAACATAAATGGGTGGTGGCTCTGGTTCAGTGAAAGTCTGAGTAATTTCGATATTTTTATTATTGGCGACAACAGAATTGTTGCTGGATGTGCTAGTAGGTGGTTTAGTTTTAATAATTATATAAATTTGTTTGTGAAATTTGCCAATGAGAGAATTAGATGAATAAAATGGAAATCGCAAAAGAAGTTAAATAGAAAAAAAAAATATGTTCTTTAAATGTATTATTATTTTCGCGTGATATGAGTGATTCATATGCTTCATTCAACTTGCCAAACTTCAATTCTATCTCCCAAAACATTATAGTTAATAATTTGGTACAATAATTACTTTTTAAATTTAAATAACGAAGAGAGACTATTCAAATATTAGTTTACCGCCGATCCAATGTGGCCGCCCCATCCGTATGACCGCACCCGATAACATCCCAGTCAGACTAATCAAAGCCTCTCTACCATCCATCCTTCCAATCCTCTACCATATCTATAATTACTCACTACAAAACACTACTTTCTCTACATGCTGGAAAACCACCCAAATTCTCCTAACCAAGCTTAAAATCTTTTTCTACTAGTGCCCTTAATTGGTTCCAATCCTTTCTTACCGGCCAGTCCCAGTATGTTGTAGTCCCCAATAACCCCCGATCAGAATCTTTATCCTTGTCCAGAGATATCCCACAAGGCTCCACCCTTCTTTCCATCTACATCAATGACCTCCCATCCTCTATCCTACATTGTCAATACCATCTGTATGCCGTCTCCTTCTGAAATCCATCCCGCCCGATATCCGACATCCACAATCAGTTCCCTAATTTAAATCTCTCCTTTTTAAGCACCTACTCCTTTTCCAACCCGATTGAACACGAAATGTACATAAGAGAACTTTTTAAGTCCCCCCCCAGAAATGATTTTGTTTACTTTACTTATGTTGTCTTATTTCCCCATGTTTGTTTTATATATATATATATATAATGAAACTCATGCCGTACGGGACTAATGGAAACAGCGAATGAAATGCCGGGGGATAAGACCAAGCAGAGATATAACCCGCGGTTTGATGATGTGTTGCAGTAACTTAGAGGCAAAATACAGCATACAACAGGCTGATCCAAAGAAAGCAAACAAGGAGACGCGAGATTCCACAGAATAAAGAAAAGACGAAGGGAAAGTAAGATCCTACAGAAGATAGATGCCTTCAGATCCAAAAATACAAGAGAATGCTTCCTGATAGTCAATAAAAACAGCAAGAATTTCACCAACTGTACCACATCATGCAGAACTAAGGAAGGTATCTTAGTAACCGACAAACAGGAAAACATATAAACCCGGATATGGATAATATGCTTACTGGTGATGATGATGATGTTGAAAGATAGAAGGAGTCCAGAGGAGGAAGAGATAGAAGAATCTATTGAAGGGCAAAACAACAGAGCTCCAGGCATTAATAATCACCCGGCTGAGCTCTACAAGCATGGTGATGCAGAACTCATAAAGCTCCTGGAGGAAGTGTTCCTCGACGTATGGAATAAGAAAGAGCTCCCAAGTGACTGGAAAAAAACCATTATCTGCCCAATATACAAAAAAGGGAATGTCTTCCAATGTAATAATACAGGAGCATATGCCTCTACCCTGTGGCCTATAAAATCCTTTCAAGGATCTTTTATAGAAGAATATTACCCTATGCTGAGGATGAAATTGGAAAATAGCAGGCTGGATTTTTGAAGGGTAAATCAACCATGGATCAAATATTCTCTTTACGTCTCCTTCTGGAGAAGACTAAAGAATTCCAAATTAGCATACATCTCATTTTTATTGACTTTAATCAAGCATGTAATTCCATACTCTTATGGACATTTCTTTCCAGCAATTAATTTAATCCTATTTTTTTACTCTAGTCTTAGTCCATTCATATCAATGGCATCAGATGTACTGATTCCATCCAGCGAAACCATTCAGCTTTTGGTTTTCTCTACATAAAAGGTAGGCTTCAGACCTTTCCACAGACATTTCATCTGAATATCAATGAGGTACAGGTGACATATTAATCGCATACTCACCTATGGATGAAAACTTGAACATCAGGCATAATTTTTTAAACACACAATAAACTGAATATGTCAATTTATGGTTTGGTGCAACATATGATATATTTAATGAGGTAACCCTGGTCCCAGAGGACCATATTTATCCTTTTTTTTTTTTTTTTTTGTGTGTGTGTGTATGTTTTAGAGGCAAAAGGTGAATGGTACTTGTTGAAGCACATTCCTTCATGTTCCCTCCCATGGCCATTAATATTTCCTGGTTGTATTCTACCGTCTCTATTTAGTCTTCCTCAAATTGTTTAAAGATAGATTTTATATCTGCATGTTTTATAATCTTGTGATTTTCAGTCCTGAAAATATCTGACAAACCGAAATATTGACAGAATAATTATTTACTGTAATTTCAAAGACTTATGCTTTTTGTCTTCTTCGAATCATCTAACAATAACTTGATAATAGTTTAGATTGATTAACTTTAATAAATATTGTTAAAGAAAGTTACAGATTTTGCTAATCAACACAATATATTTTATAACCATAAAACATCTGAACACATTATATTATTTACATATGATATCGATTGTCTATAAAATTAAATTAAATCATATGGGTTGTCCTACTCCTACTGTATTTTAGTATAATTATAATTCTGACTTAATACACTTTGAAAAGTATGGCAATTAATAGATGATTAACTTTAATCAATTCTACTATTTCTCATACATGGATGTAATAACATTACAACATAATTACATACTTCTAATTTAATATAAATAATATAATAAAATTTAGCAATAGTTTATTATCATTTATAATAATAATGCAATAATTGTGATTCAGTTTCTATAAACAGATAAACAATGAATTAGCTTCATCTGATACGGATGGGGTACAGTAGCCTAGAAGACACTACAGAATTATTCAGCATTTTTTTTTTTTTACAAACAAACTTTGTAACTAAAAAAGTACACATGAAAATAAATATGTGCTTATATTGTGCAAATTAAATAGTGACAGGATATACAAAAAATTACCTGTAAAGACTCATAGTTTCAGCTAAAAATACTCAATGGATTTTGATATACAGTAAGCCAATGCAAAAACATAGTGCAAGATTTAAATCACTCGGCTGTAAATCATAGTATTTAACAATGTTTGAGAATACAATTTTTGGACAACACCAAATTTATTATAATGATATATATTAAAATACTATTTTAATGATTTAGTATTTATTTGACCGTGGCTCCCGACCAACTTCTTCTCAAATTTATTATAACATATTTCATAGGTTGTTGAAAAAAATCTATTGGAAATTTGTTTTCATGCAGAATAACAGTGAGATTATGTTACGATTATTAACTAACTTCAAGTGAGTGTTAATCCAATATTTATGTTTGAAAACTCTGACAAGAATAATTGTAAAATAAATATTGGTTGGAATATAAAAAAATACATCTTTATTATAGTTAGTATTATTTAAACAAAACTAAGCAAGTGGACAACTAACAATGGATTGGTGTTAATAATGTTTTGCAATAACTGATACCTAGATGGTAAATAATGTATATTGATAAATTTAGAATAGTATACATCAGGTTCAGCATAAGCATACTGAAAATGGTTGCTTCCATTAATAAAAACATACACCGAAACACTTCTTATGTGCTGAACATTCTGAAATAAAATTGAAACTAAAAATAATTAGCTACATTAAATAGATGTATACTAATTTAAACATCACATTAAGGAAGTAATTATTACAAGACAATTTTCAGATCCCATATTCTACAATGTCCAAAGCCAATTAATAAGAAAATTAAATTAAAATTTTATTAAATTAGCCACTGAAGGTCTTTGGGAAATAATAACAATGATATCAGGTGTATATTAGCACATTTTTCTAAGAAAACAAAAACATGGAGGAAAAAAGTATAATCTCAATATGAAGATTAAAACAAACCAAACTGAGATAGAGAAAAGTAACTATATCTCGTGTTTTATTCCTAATGAAGGTTTAAATGAACAGACATCAAAAAGAGAAGTTAAGTATCAATTTATAAAGCAAGATTTAGGTCAAGTAAAATATTTAAAAAATGTATTGGTTTGAAACCAATATGGAAGGTTATGTCAAACAAGATAAAATACATCTACTTACATCCCTGTCTCTGTTTTTATAGTTTATAACGATGTCATCCGTCAATATATGTCCCTGATTTTTTAACATTATTAGAAAGCAATATTTCAACCACGAAATACAAGCAGCCCAATTCAAAAACCTCAAGCTAAAGACTGACGCAAGAATAACCTTCTATAGAGATAACAATGGTAATATAACTTTATACAGTTATACAGTATATACAGTTTAACAGCATAAATCGTAGGTGCCAAATCCTATTTTATTTTCACTTAATAAATATATCAAACTGAATTAATTTAATAAATAAATATTTTCAATAATGATTTTCATTTGGATAGCCTTTGGCAGAGGTGAAGAATCAATAATTAGTACAGCTTTTGTTGATTCAGCTTTATCATAAACATTTTCAATAGATTTTTGGAAAAATAATTGACTTGAAAAAATTGAAAGTATTTTACCTATGAATGGTCGACTAACTGAAAAAAGTTTTTCAGCTACTTTTGATAAATCTAACTTAATATCTTTGCATTGAGTAAATAGTCAATCATCCATTCTATTAATTTAAATATATATATACAAACACCAGCAAAAAATGCAAAACTCTAATTGTAATGGTGCCATGGTCTGTGAATGACCTTGGTCTCCTTGATGATTCTCTTCCATTCAGACTGACCACATTCAGCTCTTTTCCTTCTGACCAGTTCTAAGAGTCTCAGCTTAAATCAATTTCAATATCCTCCATACACCATACTCCAGGACTCCCCTTCCTCTTTATCAATCAGATCTAGGGGTCTTCCTTCCCTTATGATACAATAAACTATTCCTAAACCTCTATACTCCAAGTTCATTGTTGGTTTTTATTTTGAATCAGTTCCATTCTCTGAATTGGCCATGCATATATATTTTTTTTTATTTTACTCAACCACATAATTATTTGTCTTCATACCATTCATTTCCACTTGATAATGCGGTAATCTCACGTACATTTATTTTGAGATTTTGGATTTATCTCAATTTGATCAATTTTCTTAACCAACTAGTAATATATTTTACTAATCTGTATTCTTTCTTTTATTTCTATTCTATCCTATTATCTTTGTCTATGATTATAATGAAGTACTTAAATTAATTTTTTTAAACTTACAAAAGTACATCTCTCTCTTAAAATATAATCCCCACTTTAGCCAATCTTAGCTGACTGTATGCAACTTGGTTTGCTTAACTTTATTTTGAACCATCTATTGTGGCCATTACAGGACTGAAAACTGTTGCTGATTAAATCACAAAAATGAACTAATCATTATATATACCTTGAGCTGTGTATGAAGCTAAATTATTTACAACATGAATGGTTTTCTGAATGTGCAGGTGTTCTAATCATTATATTTATTAATATTTTAATTTCCTTTTTTCATTTATTTATAATGATGATAAGTAAGTTGCTTAGAGGACAACAATTGATTATGATGTAATTTTTGTTTCTATATAATTTTGTTTTAAACTCATCAACTGTTCATAATTGTCAAAACCTCTTATGATGGCATTGACAAAAGCAAATTATATTCTTCCATGAAAGAGTTAAAAATCTAAAAAAACTCAGGCCACAATGGATGTGATTGAGTGCATAATTAGATGGTAAGACTCTGCCAAATCTTTACTTTCTGGCAAGCCTTCTGTTCAATTTGCACATTCAAATTTTCCATTTGGATTTTTCCATTCAAACTAATGGAAACATCTGCAACAGATCTATTATAGGGCTTTGCAGACCTGAATATAGTAGGGAGATCTCTCATAAATTTGCAGGCATGAATTCAAGTGCAGGAGCAGGCTGCTAGATGTTAGGGTCTAAATATCAATGCAGTTTTGCGCATGCACCAGTTTCTAACTACCAACCTGCTTTGTCGTCTCCCACAAAGTGACTTAATTACCAGTTAATTAGTGAACTTTAGTGAAATAAAAACAGTGCCAGTTCAATGGTTATCAATTCACTAATCAACTCAACATAAAATACAGTGAGTAACCGCTTGTTGACACAGTGAGTAACATTAAGACAACTGTGTAAGCAATGATAGTTGGATAAGTAGAGGCCAATGTCATCTATCATTGCTCCCACTGCCTTTAGTGTCCCTACGGCCTTCTAAGGGAGTGCAACTGTAACTAGATGGTCTCTACAAGTCTACATATTAAATGCCATTATGCCATAAAAACCACCCAACAAACTACAAAGGACGCCAGACCTATAAAATACTAAAATCCAGATTACAGACAGCTCCTAGACAGGAAGAGACATCCAGAACTTCCACCCCACCAAGGCAACCCATCCACCACCCCACCAAGGTAACCCATCCACCACCCCAACATAATAACACCCAAAAATCCAGTCCTCACCAAATCTATATTCCCACCCCTAACAATTCCAATGACCTTACCAGCCTCCTTATATAATTCCTCTTCAAGATCAAATCCCTCATCATCCCGCTCATCTCCCTACTTACAAATGTCATAACTAATCTGATCCCACCACCAAGAATTTCTTAAATGTCCTCAACAAGACCCCTTTCCATACCTCCTCTGGAATGTGAATGGTGTTTGAAACCACATCAACAAACTAACTTTTTTTCTACAGGACCATAATATTGAAATAACCCTAATAACTGAGACCCGACTAACTAACAAACAATGGTTCAACATACCTGGCTACACAAGAGTTATCAAACTGACCACCCTAATGGAACAGCACATGGAGGCACTGCTGCCATCACCCACCAATCCCTCTCCCATCACTTATATGCTTTACCAGCTCATAATTTCCTGCAAACCTCAGCAATAACAATCCAAATTTCACTTTTTCCTGTTACAGTTGTCCCAGTATACACTCCACCTAAAACAGTAATACCTGAACCTAACTTCATTTCCTTTCTTAATTCTTTAGGACACCATTTGCACACCATTTACTCAGTTTTATGGCTTGATGACCTTCCCTCAGACCACAGTCTGCTAAATCTAACCCTTTCTACATCTATCCCCAGATTATCTTTTCCCTCATTCATCCCGATCCTCTCTAAAATCTTTGAGAAATCCTTCTCAAATGCATCCTACCCATACTCAAATCCCATAATATCCCTTCCCATCAGTTTGAATTCCACTCAAGACATTCCACTGTTCAACAAGGCCTTCGCGTTATTGACCATATATCCTCTGTGCTTGAAAACAAGCAATATTGCACTGGTGCCTTTCTGGACATAGCGCAAGCTTTCAACCGGGTGTGGTTTGCTTTTCAAGTTCAAAACCCATTTACCCCAACCCTTGTACCTAGTCCTCAAATCCTAACTCTCAAATCATTCTTTTCAAATCCGTTGCAGCACCAAATTCTCCAATTATTTTCCAGTTAAGGCTGGTGTTCCACAAGGCAGTGTCTTGGGCCCAGTTCTCTACATCTTCTTCACCGCTGACATTCCAATCAATCCCAATATCTTTCTAGCAACATTCGCTGTCATCCCACCCAGGTCATGAAGATCATAGCATACCAGACTTAAAAGACAAGAAATTAACCTAAGATTTCGCCAGTTATACAGACTGTTTAACAGAAAATCCAGTCTCTCAATTGAAAACAAACTATTGATATACTAAACCATACTGAAACACATCTGGACATACGGACTTGAACTGTGTGGGACAACTAAATTTTCGAACATCAAACGCATCCAATCCTTCCAGTCTAAAGTCTTCCATATAATAGTCAATGCTCCTTATTATGTTACTAACAAAACCTTACATCATGACATATAAATAAGGGATTATGACCTTGACGTTATTCCATCTCGATTCTCAAATTTTCATTTGAACCTAACCCACCATATGTTTCCTTAGCGCAATTCTTATCCAGTTCCAGTCATTCCTACAATCATCTTCAAAGGTTGTTATATATCAATGCACACACACACACATACATATATATATATATATATATATATATATATATATATATATACATCAATGCTACCAAAATATAGTATATTGCTGTGAGTCCACAAGTGAAACCAACAGAAACAGTCGGCTAGTATACTTATGGACAAGTCAATGACCATTTAAGCTGTAATATCAATGCTGACATTAATATACCAGCAGAGATTAAAAATTGGATCATGAAATCCAATGACTACATTTTTGACCTCAGGAGTATTCTCAAGAGTTGGATAATAAATAGGGCAACTACTAACACATAAAATTCTTATACGACCAGAGTCAACATACAGCTCAGGATTGTGGACCATTTTGAAATTTGATTAATGTGCAAGGGAGAAAGATACTACGATCCATTTTGTGAATAGTCTGCATTGGAGAAAACTACCTTATAGCTATGAGGGCTGTACATGAAAACAAATGTTGTTCATTTTACCCAGAAGGGAAAAATAACATGGGGTAGCTTATGTGAGTAATATTAACATATTGAGGAAGACCTTAGGAGAGGTACTGCATTAAAACGGATGATGTGAATAATCAAAACTCTGCTTGAAAAATTGCAGTTCCCATGAAGTTAGAACCATACTTGACACTCAGTAAAAGAAGTTGAATACTTCGAAGGATTTGGATAACTGAGAAATGCTGTTTCAAGAGTCAGGTCATGGACTCCATGAGTTTTAAGGGAGTAGATAAATTGGTTTTAGTAATTCTTAAATGACTTTAAACTTTATAAGAAGAAAATAATCCTTCCACGATCAATACAGATCATGGATGTATGATGATGATGAACAGCCAAACCATAAATGAAATGGGGATGAGATTGAAGAGACACATGAATTGCTTCATAAGAAACATACTTGAGATTCCCAGACGTTCTCATGTTTCCTGCTGGGACACTGAGTTAAAGTGGCTTTATTCTTTTTCTCAATGGCATTTCTTTCTTCGTGTTTTTCTTTTCCAAGTCCTCAGAACCTAAAATCCTCCTTACATCCTAGAACTCCTTACTCTACGTTCCTCCTCTATCCACTCTGTAAAGCCTACTTTCTCCAGCAAATCCTTTGTCATTCATGATACCTCCTTTTGGAACATTTTATCTGCCATATGTCAACCCTTGTCCACAAATTCCTTGAAACAACTTCTATTCACTTATCTACTCCATATTCAAACTTCCGAAAACATGTAAAATTTATCTGCATCTA